AGTCATTTTTGGAAACTAACAATATCAGAAGAAATGCCTCAGAGAGTGTTGTAACCCCCCCACCCACACACACAAAACTGAAGAAAAGGAAACTGAATACAGAAGAACCCTATATTATCTTAAGTCCTCATTTTTTATTTATATGTACTATGGTGATGGCTTTGATACAGAATTATAACTGTAAAAATGTTACATAGCACTTAGTTTAAAGGGCCCATGATTGGGTCACTTTGTAGCACTAAAAACAAAAGGTATTGCATTTATCCAGTGTGAAATAATGTCTCTTAATATCATGAGGATAAATGAGATATGTTTGAATTAGCTTTGAGCATATATCATGTCATTTAGTTTTACAGTATCTCTGAAAAGGAAGGATGGGTGAGCAGGGGGCAAAAAGGTTATGGAGGGAGGTAACTTTTGTCACAATTTTAAACAAACAAATTGAAGCAAAATCACACAATTGAGTTTATAACAAAGACTGAATTAGAGAACACTGTATCTTAAACCTCTCTTTGCAAAGTTCTTTAACTAGAACATGTATCCCAAACAATTTTGACAAATTTGTCTCCTAAACTTGAGTAATCATCACCATTGCAAGGAGCAAGAATGTATGTGCCTTTTGAGGAGTCTGACTTTAAGAAGACCCTATATACAAAAATCCCACATTATAAATATGATTTATAGAGTGCATAATTTTACTTTGCTCTTCACAATCATTCTTTACAATATAGACTTACTTCCATTAACTAATGAAAAAAAGCACTTTTACTTAGCATTTTATAAACACAATGTATTATATCTTTCAAGGATTAGCTTAAATGCAGTTTTATTCATAACCCTTTCCAGTCCAGATGAAGGTGATTTTTTTTCTCAATGGAAGTATATATTGTTCCTTAATTCCTTGTTTATCACAGTCTTAGAACATTTAAATCGTCTACTATTGTAGTTATGGATGTATATGATTTCTTATTCTATCGGATTGTCATCTCCCATGTTTCCTGGTATATATTAAGTGCTTAATAAATATTAAATGAGCAGAAGTTCATCTGTAGTTGGTCAGTGAGTGATGCTCAAGGCAGAAGGAGGGAGAAATGAGTGAGATTCTCTCCCAGTGGACTTATGGGGGTGCATTTTCAATTTATATTTTCCTAGTCTTTCACCCCCAAATAATTACTTTCTAGTGAGCCTCCTTTTGCTGGGAGTGTATTGTAATCTGCAAACACAGCAATTGCATGTTTGTGTGTGTGTGTGTGTGTGTGAGAGAGAGAGAGAGAGAGAAAGAGGGAGAGAGAGAGAGAGAGAGGGAGAGAGGAGAGAGTGCCTTAAAAGGAGACGGAGGAAAGATCAAAAGAATCACAACATAGAACAAAACAATATGCCTGCATTCTTGCATAACTAGTAGCGAAATGTAAAAGGGAATGCATTAGGCACACTAGAAATAAAAACAAATTTTATCAAAAATAGCTACCCTGTTAAAGTGTTAGCATAATTAAAGCTTCTTTTAGTAATGAGGCCCTTCTATATATTCTTTTTTCTTTTTTTATTGAATTTATTGGGATGACATTGGTTAATAAAATTATATAGGTTTTATAATTCTGTTATACATCATCTGTATATTGTATTGTGTGTTCACCACCCCAAGTCCAGCCTCCTTCCATCACTCCTTCTATATTTTCTTGCTTATGAATAAGACATACTTTCAAGCCTTTGGCAGACATCAATAGGAAAGTGTAAAACCAGAATCAGTGGTAATTGACAAAGGCTATCTGGTAAGAAATTTGAAGATTTTATATACATGTATATAAAACAATGGATCTATTTCCCATTTAGATTCCCATAAATCTCTTTTTATTTGTTGTTATTTTGTAACAGTGATGAATAGCAAAGGCTTAGCTCCAATACAGGATTCCTTTCCCTATAAGATTTCTTTCCATCAGAATAAATTCCTGTCCATCTCAGAGTTGTTGCCTTGTTAACTTTGTAAACACCTGCTTGTTTTTTGTAGATATTTGTTCTGGTGAGCCTAATCTTGTGGTAGGAACACACATATTTTTTCTATTTCTCATTTTTTCTCTGCTTTGTTTTTAATCTTTTATGGAAAAGATCTTTTGAATTTTCTAGATTTAAAGAATTATTTTGGTTAAAAAAAATTGGGCTGTGGCTCTGAGCTCTTTCAGTATTTTATTTATCATTATTCCAAACAGTCATTCATTTTCTCTTGTCTGATCACTCTCTGCCTTGGTGTCCTCCACTGGTTACCTTGTGTATGTAGACCTTTCTCACTCCAGAACCAAACATAATGCACTTTTTTCCCTTTCTCCATGTTACCTATGACATAACAGAAAGACGTAACATATTCTCTCCTCAGCTTGATATGAGGCACACTAAGACTTGTGAGTTAAGCTTTATTTCATAAATTGCCCTCTTTTTCTTAGCCTTAGTTCTGTGCTTGAAGCATTGAGTTCTAATTAAACTCTTCTCTTAAGAAACACAGTAGATATGTTTTTCTCCAATGTATAAGTGAGTCTTCTTTTAAATAAATCTGTAGTTTTAAAACTAAAGGTCAAATGTTTTTATTATATGTTCCCTGACTCTTTTTTTTTTAAAAAAAGAAAGCTAATGTAAGGTACAATGATAGGGAAAACTGAGTTTGAGGTATATAGGATCTCTGTACTATCTTTACAGTAATTTTGTACACCCATAAACTGTTCTAAAAGAAAAAAAGTTTATTAAAAACTATGAAGGACATTTTCTTTTTCATTAATATGGATTTTAGAGATATTAAAGTGTTGTATTTCTTACCCAAAACATGAAAAATCTGACAAATGACATTGTTCTTTATTTGCTTTCTTTTTTTAATTGAATTTATTGGGATGACATTGGTTAGTAAAATTATATAGGTTTCAGGTGTACAGTTCTATAATATTTATTTGCTTTCTTGATAAACTGTTGAGTTAATAATAAAGCTTTGGGTCAGTTGTTTATTCCCAGGGTCCTTGTATAATATTGTACAGAAAGTAAATTATATTGGTCTCCCTGTACACATAATATCACACCCCTCGGTCCCTCTCAAATCTTCTGTGTCTGTAACAACTGGAATGGGAATGCCATAGGAGTCTGCCATGAGTTCAGAGTCTTAAGTGAAAAGAATCAGCAACTCTAGAGCTTTATTGGAGAAATAGGATTCATCAATTTTTGCTGAATTTTATTGGGGCTCTGTTGGGTTCATAGGCCTCTAACTCTTTGGAAGGCTGTTGCTGGCATACTTCAGCGGTTTTCAACCCGTGTGCCACAAGAATTTTTAAAACATGCAATACCTGACTATTTAGCCAGGGGCACTGACCTCTTTTCTCTTAGATTTTTAAAAAATTAAATTTATTCCAGTGACATTGGTAAATAGGATCATATAGGTTTCAAGTGTATATTTCCATGATACAAAATCTGTGTATTGCACTGTGTGCCCACCACCCAAAGTCAAACCATCTTCTGTCGCCATATATTAGTCCCACCCCCACACCCCCACCCCTTTCCCTCTGGTAACTACCACATTGTTGTCTATGTCCATGATTTTCAGTTTTATATCCCAAATAGTTTGTCAAATAAAGTGACAACAGCCAACACAACAACAGCCGTTGGTGTGAATGAATCAAAATCATACCTATTTTTTTGGTCAGATCAGCAAAAAATATATATTTTTTGGTGTGCTGCAGAATTTTAGTAATTAGTTTATGTGTGCCATGAGATGAAAAAGTTAAAAATCACTGATCTAGGTTCTCTGATATAAAAAGGCCAGTCTGCAGTGGCACATTGGAATGTGAAAGATAACCTCTTCTGGAAGTAACCTGCCTATTCCCTTCTCAGCTTTTCCTTCGGAAACATTTTACAGCCTCCCTGTCCTAGCTTTTGTTTCTAGGGATCTCTACTTGACAGAACAGGTAATATCCTTAGAAAACAGTGGCAGATTTGGGATTTGTTGACTGCTCTATTCAAGGCTCATATAAATTGAGAACTAGGTACTTTGCTTCTTGCTTTGTGGGAAAGATTTTGTTCCTGAGGGTATCCATTCTCTCTTCCCTTTCAGACAAAACAACTTGAAAAACTTCTCAGGCTAAGGAGTCCTTGTCAAAACAAAATTTTATTTGAAGAACTAAGATGCTTAGGGATATTTAGTAGCAGTTCACATGAATTAGAGCAGAATTGATATGTGAGAATGGAAAAAAGAAATTCTCACATTAGCTAAGCCCATTGCACCTAATGTTAGATGGTATTAAGTGTTTTGCTCACTTTCTGTTCATCTTAGAGCAAATATACAAACAGGAAAGTGAATCTCCTGGTTAAAAAGTGACATACCACATTCTTAAGACAGTTAATATAGAATATATTCTATATTTTATGGTGAAAATTGCTAGTATTTATCAAGATTGGTGTTTTTTTTTAAAGTCCTATCATTGCTATTTTATAATTGTTGAACTCAGATATCCTTTTACTTGGTGGCTTTGCTTCCATAATGATTTTGTTGGTGACATCTAGAACTCTGGAGATAGATGGAATTAATAGGTATATTGTAATTATTCCTTTAAAATGATTTGAGTTTCATCAGGGAAGGTAAGCTCAGAATGCTGAATTGCAGCTGAAACAGACAAACTAATTTACTTCCTTCATAAAGATCTCAGTGTATGCAGCTTTAGTTCAGAGATGATCACACTTGCATGTTCTGCATGATAAAGAAGTGAAAAGAGTATTCTTTTCAATGTAACTGCTTAATTTCACATTTGTTTAGTGATGTTTCCCAAGTAACTGTTCTTTTTCACTGCCATCTCCCTAAGTAGGCACACAAAATTTTCAATGGTCTTTGGAATTTGATATTTAAAGCTGGATTCTTTGCTTTAAAAAATACACTGGATCAGTCCTGGCTTACATGATTTATGCACTTGTCGCCTATAAAGAGAAGTTTCTCTGTGTAGTTTATCTTCACCTTTATTTCTCTTCCTCCCTGACAGAATCCCACGGACTGCAGCAAAGCCAAGAAGCTAGTGTGTAATATCAACAAGGGCTGTGGCTATGGCTGTCAGCTCCATCATGTGGTCTATTGCTTCATGATTGCATATGGCACGGAGCGAACACTTATCTTGGAATCTCAGAATTGGCGCTATGCTACTGGTGGATGGGAAACTGTGTTTAGACCTGTAAGCGAGACCTGCACAGACAGATCTGGTGTCTCCACTGGACACTGGTCAGGTAAGAAGCCTGTGCAGCATGTCAGATTCTCTGAGTTGAACTGCCACATAACCAGATTTTCAGATTTCTTGTACAACTTTATGGCTCACAGTCATCTTTTTCTCTGTGTCTATGAATGCTGTACATTATCCTGATAAAAATCTAGGACAATATTTTATTTAAAAAGTGTTTCATGATATAGTTCATTTCTGATGTTTATTTTCATCTGGATTTAGCAAAATCACTAAGCTTTTTCACAGAATATAATTTATTATTTTGATGATGATGATGATGATATACCTTTCCCTTTTTGGGGTGCTTCCACATTATTGACCTCAGTTAATTCTCATAACTATCTTGTAAGTAATGCAGGCCTGAGGTTTTTAAACTTTAGCATGCATGAGAATCACCTGGAAGGCTTGTTAAAACACTAGTTTCTGATTCGGTAGCTCTGGGTGGGGCCTGAGAATGTGCATTTCTGACAAAGTTGCCAGACCCAGGGACTAAACTTTGTGAACTACTGAGGCACCTTTATCTCCATTTTACAATTGAAGACGAGGAAGCCTAATTTGTTTATACAATTTTACATTTTATTCAGGAAACATTTGATGACAAATAATGTGATTAAGGTATTATACTAAACACTACAAGAGATATAAAGATCAGCAAGAAATTTCTCCTAAGATCTGGTGGTAGAGGGAATAGACTTATATATAGTTTCTTATTGCAACTCTATTTTTCTTTCTACAATAATGATCTTTAAACAAGGTCTAAAATTGGGCTATGTTTGTTAAAAATGCTGGCTTTTTCATTTTGTAATCTTGGGCAAGTTACTTAACCTAGGCCTTAGTTTCCTCATCAGTAAAATGAGAAGTAATAATTTACTTACCTCTTTGTGTTGTTGGTAGGATTAAATGAAATATGTGTAATGTCCTTAGCACAGCACCTGATATATGAGCTCTAGTAATTGTTAGCTATCATTAATAGCCTTTATTCATTGAGCAGATACACATTGAGTGCCTACATTGTGGAAAATACTGAACTAAGTTAGTAGGTGAAATTCTAAGCAAGACAATAGACTATCTCTGCACTCACATCTTCCTGGAAGTCAAACTTTTTTCAAAAGGCTGAGGCATTTCAGTTAATATGATTCCTCCTGGAGTTGACCATCTTTTTTTACAAGATAGAACACTAGATGTGTGGAATAGGGAGCCGTGTCATTGGCTAAGTAAGTAACTTTAGTTCCTTTGTTTCTTTTTGCCTCCTTTGGAAAATATCAGACAATACCTGACACTTCACAGAAGTGGTCAGGAAAGCTACTTATNTGTCATTGGCTAAGTAAGTAACTTTAGTTCCTTTGTTTCTTTTTGCCTCCTTTGGAAAATATCAGACAATACCTGACACTTCACAAAATGCTTTAAAAGGTCCTATACAGATTTAAAGTATTACCTTGTGATATGAGTTTTGTCTTTATTAGGATGATTTAGGAGCCTTACTCTATATGTCAACATATGTTTTTCTTTGTAACTTATTTCAAATTTTAAAGTGAACCTCTTAATTTGGAACCTAGCTGAGCTTTAGTTTTGAGGTTACACCTTCCATTGGCCTGCTCTGCAGTTTACATTGGGCGCAAACAGATTAGGTATTATGGTTAAGAAGACAGGAAAAGCAACTCTGTCCCGCTCACTGAGGCTAACTTTTTCATTCTGTGGACCTAGTTTGTTTCAAGCTTCCTTGATTGTGGAAGTATATAGCCAGAGTAGGGTAAGGTTCTTAGGTTTTGCTATTTCTAGGAAGAGGCAACGTTTTCGGTAGTAGTCAGTTAATAGAAAAGTGAAATGTTGGCCTCACTAGACTTACAAAATTTAGTATATAGTTTGTCCCTACCGATATGCTACAACTAACTATTTGGTTTGTTTGATTTTTAATCCTTATACATTTTGTATGCATAGGATATGAAGATTTGAATGGATTGGATTAGAAACATTCCGAGTTTCTTAATATTACAATTAAACAGGTTATAGAACTCATCCTTTATTTATGTGGAATTTAGGCCTATAGATACTAAGTGATTTATACAGCTTGTAAATATTAGAACTCAGGTTAGTACATTCACTTGTACCTACTGCCAGTCTAGGTGCTTCCCAGTAAACACCTGCCAAGCACCTTACTTAGCAGAATAATGATTAGAGGCAAAGAAACTCCTAAATGTCTAGGAACTAAATAAAATGACTAACTGTAATATCTCTTCCCTTTTACCTCCCCCATCCTGTAACTTTTTCTAAACCTTCCATATAATTTCCAGTACTGAAAAGTTGTCAGTAGTACTTTCTTCTTAGTCATTTGCAGTTCCTGATTAAAGAACTTATTTGATCATGGTAGCACAGAATTATAATTTTAATTCAATAGATTTTTCCTTTATCACTACAGGTATTGTATAAAATCATATATTTTTCTTCATGCTCATCAATTAAACTGTGCCCTGTGGACACATTTAATTAATTAAACTAGTGATTCTTTTCAATATGCTTCCAGAACTCATCATAACTAAAATAATTTAGATGCTAATCTTATGTCCAAAAGAAAGAAGAGATTTATGTTTAGCATAGCAAAGTATGGTTGCCTTCCACTTCTGTTTCTGTTTATATGCAATATCTGTGTATGCACCTTTTGGAGAAACTAACCTATTTCTAGATTTAGAAGAAACAGGATGAAATTTAATAAGGTCTTTGACATTAATCCTTTAGTTAGCCATAAATCGACTATACCTATTATTGTTCTGACCTGTACAGAGGATCTTGGGATATTTTCCTTGGCACAACTGTCATGAAATTATTATTGTTCATTCATACTTGACATGATGTACCTACAGGTGGAATTTAGTGATTCCTGTTCAAATCTGTCACCGATACAGGAATTAGCGTGCACACCTAATCATTTCAGTATTTCAGTAGCTCAGTCATACCTTGTTGTAGGTTGAGTTCTATTTTTCTTCTTTATTATTTTGTATTTGTATATGAAACTATATCCTGTGTAATAATTTGGTTAAGTGAAGCAAAAATATTCAACATTATGCTTCCAGTTAAAAATTACAATAATCTTTCCTATCATCTATTGATGTCTGTTCTAAAGTTGCTGATAACATGGTCAGTTTAATTTTCTATATCACAAAACATTTCTTAAACCTAAACTAATTACATATAATGAACCTAATTCTTCCAAATAGATTTCTTATGATAATTCAGAATGAGAATCTTGGTATTTAATGGTTTGGAATATCTTTCAACAATTTTCAATTTGTTTAAAGTATGTTGACTACTGCCTGGCCAGGCATGCATGGCTCAGTGGTTGAGCGTCGACCTAGGATCCAGGAGATCACAGTTCGATTCCCCGTCAGGGCACATGCCCGGGTTGCAGGTTCTATCCCTACTAGGGGGTGTGCAGGAGGCAGCCAATCAATGACTCTCATCATTGATGTTTCTCTCTCCCTTCCTCTCTCTGAAATCAGTAAAGATATATTTTTAAAAAACAAATAAAGTACGTTGACTTGTAGGCTATGTATGATGACCAACTTCCAAAATGCCTTTATAGTTGATATAAACACTTTTGAATAGATGATTTAGTGATAGAGAATCTTAACCATTTAAACTATTTTCTACTGTGATTTTTTTTTTTTTTTTGGTTTGTTTCATTCTAAAAAATGAACACTTATTCAGATTAGCAGTTAAACCACTTTGGCTATTTTGTACTGTATTTCCCTTCTCGTCTTTTCCCTGCTGTTTTAATAAATATGTAATAAATTAAACTGAATTACTTAATAAATTAAACTGAATTACTTAATTTGATAAATCTAATTGGCAAACTTTCTTTTAAATGAAAATAATGACTAGTAAGAAACAGTGTTTGTAAGTGTGATAAAATTTAATGCTCTCAAGGTGCCTGATTTAAGCACATGTTTAGAGAGATTGCCGTTCACTATAGTATTTAGTTATCTAAACTGGATGGTTACTTTCTGTCCATACCTCGTTTCAAAGAGCTTTTGCTCAAAGAGTTTTATTTGGCATCCTTATATGGAGGAAGCCTTCAAATAATAATAATTTTAGAAAAGAACTTGCTATGTGCCAGCCACCATACTGGGCTACATGAAGAAGATAGGCACAGTCCCTGCCCTGTCAGGAGCAGGAGAGGAGGAAAGGCAGACAGCTGAGTGAACAATTAAAATATATTGTGATATATAAGTTGATACTACTCTCAAGCACATATCTAACATATATTAGGAATTCTCCTGGAAGAAGTGATTTTTAAGATAAGACCCAAAGGATTAATAGGAGTCAGCCAGGTAGAGAAGTGGCAGAAGAATTTTCTGTCAGTGGACACATGAGAAAAGAGAGGTAAGAGAATATGGAGTCACTGGGGTAACTACAGGTAGTTCATGGTAAAGTTTGAATATACAGAGACTAATCTTTTGTTTTGAAAACACATGTCGCCTACAGGATTTCCTTTTGGATGGTTCTGTGATTTTGTTTCTCCCTAAGACCAACAGGTTTTAATTCAAGAGTCAGTGCTCTTTGTTTTGTTTTTGCTTCCAAGAGTGGGCAAAGTTTAAAGTCAGATTGCTTTCAGCTGGCTCTTGGTGTTATCTTAGGAACCATTAAACTCTTTTTTAAAAATTAAAAAATGTATTTTATTTTAAATATTTTGTAGAGTTCACTCTTGGTAAATTTTTAAAAGCTGACAAATAACTACAAACTCATACAACCCAGAAAAAAGGCAACATGATATTTTTTTTACTTAAGTGCTTAAAACAATTCTAATGCATTTTAGAATTTGGATAATCTCTATTGGCAACAATTTCACATTCTCGTTTTATATAGAGAAAATAGGAAGGTAATTTAGTGTTCTAACTTAGTTGATCACATTTTTACCCAGTTTTATTGAGACATAATTGACATATAACGTTGTATTCATTTGAGGCGTAAAACATTGTTACAAGTTTTTTCTTACAATGAGAATTTTTAAAA